TTTTTATGAAGAATGACTTTTGGTGGAAAAATGAAAATTTTCCTCTTGGGCCCTCTATCCGTGGACTTACTGTATACGAAAATAAAGTAACCATCCCAATAAACATTTTGACGTAATTTTCACCAGTAAAATTTCGCGTTATTATTTTATTTATTTTTAATTCTAATTATTGTTATTAATATTGTTATTAACTTTAAAATCACAAATTAATTAATACTTTAAAATTACAAAGTAGTTGTGTTTGTACTATTGTGTAATAGTCCTTCGGAGGGGACTTTAAGCCCGCGGTCCGTTCCTACCCCTAACCCGCACAAGCCATTCAGTTGGCTTCTGAGACTTCTTAGGAAGTAAGGGTCGAACTAAAAGAGCACTTTTGTATATAAACTTTTTGTATTAAAAATTCTTACACGGGAAATGTTAAAGGTACAAAAAGTGACAGTTGTATTTATTGGAATTCCTGTTAGAATATCTAACCTGGAAATCTACCGACGTTTAAATTCCAAATTGTTCTGTGTAAATCAAAATTTATCCCTTGAAAATAGACTAACAATCTATGTAAAAGCAGTTTTTTACAGTAAAAGAAACGAAAATGTTTTATGTTTTCAAATATTGTCGTGAAAAAACTATTTAATATTTAGAAAACTGCAGTCCGTGACTAAAGCGCCATAAAGCCACAACTTGTCAATGTGTATTTAAAAGGTCACTTAATGTCATGGAAACATGTACGATAATGGGCGTTTAAAAGGTGGGAGTAATAAAAATATCAAAAGGATGAGAATGAGAAATTATTACCTATAGGCACTAATTTCTTTAATTTTCTATACCCGAACCTTTTCATAAATAACTATGTTAACAGAAAAATATCATACATTCTTCTTATACATAATAAATTAGGTTAAAGCAATAAATTAACCAAAACCATAAAAAAATGTGCTTTTTAACCCTCGATTAATTTTCCTACTGGTAAAATATAGCTTCTATTTACACCCGATAGACAAAAAGACATTAATAACCCTTGAGGACTTATTTTCATCTTTTTTCTCTCCCTCATCGATCCGTTGTTTGTCTTCCATTGTTTTATTGGACAGTGAGAAAATAAAAAGATTATTAATGAAGTGTATACTTGTCAACTTCAGGCGGCATTTTAAGTACGGCGTGCGAAAAAGTGCCGGCAGATTAAGAATCGATAAGAAAGCGATTTTAAATCGACAGACAATTATTTATTGGCACCTTTAAAACATCATTTTTAGTCGGCGCGGCGTTGCCAAATGTATAATCAGTCTTGACGAGAAAATTACCGGTCTGATTTATGTTATTATCTGAAGGAAAAATAAATCATATGTACATAATACATTTATTTAAATTAAGACAATTATTTATTTTTTGTCGTAAAATTTTTAAATAAAAAATATAACATATTTTAGCCATTGGCCTTTGAAATAAAATCATGGGCCAGGAAACTGAGAATAAAATGGAAAAATCCCCCGATGGTGTAACCCCGTGATATTTAATTAAAAATGAGGTTGACCTACACTTTTATTATGTTTTGATCTTTCATAATTAAGTAGATATTACAGCTCAGGTTCCAGATTTTTAACCGCAATTAATTATTTTTTACAATGTTTTAAAAGTCTAAAACCTATCCTCCATGACTATTACTTTTTCTAGGTTAACCTATATGTTTTTAAATATCTGATGTAGTAAAAGCATACTAAAAATATCAGTTCACTGAGTAAATTAAACACATCGAATCAAATATAAAATATTATTAAAAATTAAAAGAAATAATTTTTGTAACCATTTATGAAGGTGTTACAAAAATTGATTTTATCCTACGTTAATCTGTTTTTGCTTTAAATTTTATGCAACGGATGGCGTTCTAATCATTTTAAATATATGCTTATAAGCAAAAACGTCTGTTTACGATATTATAGATGCATGTTATTCCTGAAGGTCAGTTAGAATTTATATGCAGATGAGAGTGTTGCTGTTTTATAATTCAAAAGTTAAAGTTCATTAATTTGCTATTTAAAAACCTACCCACCGTGAAGTGTAATATCTCAGTAAGTAGATTTTTTTATAAATATTTTATGTATGTACAATTGTATTTTTAAAAAATATTAAGGTGTCAAAAGATATAATAAGTTATTTAAAATATTCAAAGGGATGTTTAAAAAAAACATACGAAATCCTAACTTCCGTGAAGCTATCTTCCGTGAAGCTCTAATATTGAAAATGTATGATTTCTTAAAATTCTTGCATTAGTGCAGAACCACTTATGTTATGTTATTACTAGACCTGGTGGCTTCCCAAAAACCCCATTCTAGACTAACAGTGAAACAACCAAAAATAAAAAATAATCATTTTTACTTAGGGGACGGCAACGTCACTCAGCATTCCTGTTTGGATAACTTATCCTCAAATATTCCATAAAAAAATAAAAATAAAACTTGCTAATTAGAAATTTCGCCTTTTATCAAAAGTTGCCGGCATGAAACATCTTTAATAATAAATAACCGAAAAATGATTAAAAAAAGTGTTGAAAAAGAAGTTGAATGTTTTATCTTCGTCATTGCGTTCGCAAGCTCATCGTCAGCTTTTTTAATTCTATTCAAGTAATGAGCATTTCGTGTAAAAAGATGATTAATGAGATTAGTAACAAAAAGATCGGGGGTTTTCTAAGTTTAATATAAATGTAATTGTTTCGGAAAAAGATGGATTAGAAATTACTTTTAAGTTTATTAAAGGCTTTATGGAACCGAATTATTTTTGTATACAGGGTGTTTCACATTCGTAGTCAATCAGTTTCTGAGGAATGGAAAAAGATATCCATTTAAAATTTCAATTTAATTGTATTTTTTTAGGACCAACATGTTAAAGCCATGGATATTAGGAAATAAGACAACCATATAAGGATAATGGAATTTAACCAAAACTCACCAATAAATTTGGCAAGCACCAATTTATTACTTTTAAATTTTTTGACTAAATTAAATTATTTATTTGCTATTATTTAAGTTTTTATTAACTAAATTTCTTCAAACTTGTTTTGTCTACTTTAAATTATAAAATCGCCTTTTTTGTAAGAGGTCGTAGGTCAAAATTTTGTTTAGATTTTTGGGGTTTTTAGTTTAATATCTATAATTTTTGTGTTAAATATTTTCAACAAAAATATCTACCAAAAGGTGTCTTATTTAAGATATTATTTTCAAAACGTCTTTAGAAAATAACACAAATTAAATTAAAATTTAAACCCTAGGGTTAATAATAACTCAAAGATTAATTAGGTAATAACTCAAAGATTAGTTCTTTTGGTTCGTTTTTGTTAGGGGTCGTAAGTCAAATTGTTATTAGATTCTTTAAGTTGGATATGTAACTTATTCTTTTTTAAAGATTAGTTATTTTATTTCGTTTTTGTTAGGGGTCGTAAGTCAAATTGTTATTGGATTCTTTAAGTTGGATATGGAACTTATTCTTTTTTAAAGATTAGTTCTTTTAGTTCGTTTTTGTTGAATATGAAACTTTTTTTAAGATTAATTCTTTTAGTTCGGTTTTGTTACGGGTCGTAAGTCAAATTGTTATTAGATTATTTAAGTTGGATATGGAACTTATTCTTTTTTAAAGATTAGTTCTTTTAGTTCGTTTATCTAATTTTTTTTAGATTGTTTTCTTCGGGTCAAATCTTGTTTAGGTTGGAGATGGAACCTAAGTGGTTTTTGTCAGGTTGGAACTTTTTCTTTTAAAAAAACAGTTCTTTTAGTTCCTTTTTGTATAGACTTCCTATTTAGCAGTTTAGGTTGTAAATTGAACGTTTTCATATTTTGAAGATCAATTCTTTTGGTATGAATTTTATACCTAAAGTACATAAGTCAAATCTCTTTTGGGTTTTTTAAGTTACAAAGCTGAAGCCGGATACTAGGCAATTGACATGATGGTGACAGATGACAGGTGACAGATGCTGAGATGGTTATGTTAAGCAATTTGTAAAATATGTAAAGAAATAATACATAAAACTATTAATTTAAATAAATCAAGGTCTCGCAAAATGCTTGCCGTAAAATCAAAAATAACGATCCATCTAAAAAATCAAACTTTGCATAATTTTACGAGCAAAGTGACGCCAGCGAGATCTTTATGCATTTTTCCCGCAGACGCATTACTTTACAGGGGTGGGTTTACAACCGCGGACCTTCCATCTTTTATGGTTCAGACGGAATGACATATAAGGCGGATATTGTTCCCGATGTTTGGCCGATCGGAACGACAAAAGGTCTCGTCTGGCTCTCGACCGGATGATTTACTTACGATATTGTATACTTAACGTAAGCTCTTTTGTGTCGAATGTCTTCTCACCCCCCTTAGATGGTCGCGAGACCGTTTAAGAAGATCTCGTTTGATGAAATACCTACACCATAAAGAATCTTTGTGTGTTTTTGTTTTAAAAAATATCACGAATTAGATAGAAAAACAGATTTTTAGAACTAAACATATTTTTTCCTCTCCCCTTTAAAACGCCCATTATCGTACTGTGCCCATGAAACATTCTCTTCACTTTACTGCAAAAAACTGCTTTTATATCGAAGGTAGAAACATTAACAGAAACTCCAATAAATACAACTGTCACAATCATATCATAAGTTATTTTAATATTTTAAAATATCAATAATTCTTAAGTTTAATTAAAATAATAACGAGCAATGCTAATTGTGAAAATTGCGTCAAAAATATTTATTTTCGTATAGATGTCGCTTTATACAAAAATTAAATTTAAATAATTAAAAGTATTTTTCGTAGAAAAAGTATAAACTTTTCTAGGCACTCAATTCGTGACTTAAATGCCGTTTATGAAACTTGATACATAATATACTATTTGGTTATTCAAGCAAATGCTAATAATGTTATAAAAGGTTTTATTTTTTAATCACAATTTTTGTTATTTATTCTTTTAACAAATGCATAAATTATAATGATTAAGGTAATAAAAAGTTATGAATACTTACAGCTCTTCCAAATGCGTGTATTGACTTAGGGAACTCTCATTTAAAGTCGTTATGTTGTTACTCGTTAAGTCTCTGAAAATAAAAACCGCATAAATGTAGTTATTTTACACCAGGAACTTTATAAACTAAAAGAAAAACTATACAATATAATTTGTTATAATATATGAGGCGTTCCACGCCAAATTGGATGGTTTAAAAAAAAATTATTCCTTCAATTTTTTTATATTTTTTAGTACTCCTTGAAAGTGCTTTCTTAGTAAATTTTGAGATTTTTCACGGGTTCAAAAGATATCAAATTTTCAAAAAAAACTGCTTTTTTTTATTTTTCTCTCATAACTTTATAAAAAATGGTCCAAATCAAAATGTTCATTCTATATAAAATTTTCGTTTTTAAATGTTCTTTTCGAAAAAAATACATTGAATTTTTTTTTTTTTTGAAATTTAAGTCAAGATTATTGAGTTTTAAAGTTTCAATCGTGTTTTTAAAAATGTGTCTTATTCGATTTTTGCGAAATTTTTTTATTTTCACCTTCTATCTATTCAACAACTATTCAGCCTGGTCCGGGCCTTCCATAATTACAATTTTTTTCGATTTTTCGAGTTTTTTTGAAAATTTGATATCTTTTGAACCCGTGATCAAAAAAATCTTAAAATTTACTACAAAAGCTCTTTCAAGGAGTACAAAAAATATAAAAAAATTGGAGGAATCAAAAAAATAATATGCTATAATATATTATATTTGTCAAGAGTAATAAAAAAGGTTACAAGGGTTGACAAACGATACTAAGGGGGAAAAATAAATATGTTCTTTTTGCATTAAATCTAATAAATTTTGAAAGAAAACATTCCAAATTATAAAGTGCGACAAAAAAACTAGAAGAAACGGGTAATTTTTAAGTTAATTAGTCTTCAAAATCTGTACTCAAGTGAACTGGCTGAAAGACCATTGTGCCTCCAACTATTGGAAATACGAAAAAAAACTGTCAATCTGTCAACCGTTTTGCCACGTTGTGATTTGAGATTATTTATCGTAGTATTGGTGGATTGCGTCACAGTCCCGAAAAAATTGATAATTACCACGTTTTAAGTGGGTTTTCTTCTTACTTTGCCACGGTAACACCCAAAACGAAAAATCATGTAATTGTTTTATTATTATACCTTACAGATTGATTAGTGTTATAATATTTAGTAAAAGTAACGTTATGGTGTTAATGATTTAAAATACTAACTAATATTTGAGCATGAGACCAATTTGATGTGTTTTTCTTGATTAAAAACTGTAGCACCCGAAACGTTTCGTGTGTTACAACAATTTTCATATGTCGATATATGTGTGTGTATTGCTTGAAGAATGCAATAAATATTATTTTTAAAGCTCTTTCGATGGCCCACCAGCGCTTGTTACTAACTTATTTTGTTGTACCTAACGACTAATAAAACACCGATTTTGTCCATATAGTGTTTAATTTTTGTACTTGTAACACCCGAAACAGAACCATGGTAACACCCGAAACAAAGAAAAATTTTATAAAAAAAACTAGTACCTATATCGTTATCTGTGATTATGTGGTTAGTAAATATTATACTTTTGAAGGCCTGTAATTTTTAGGAATGTTTCTCTAAGAAAATTCGCTGAATTTCAAATAAATGTAACAATGGTCAGGACATAGAGGCAGAATCGTGAAACACCCGAAACGCAAACTTTTTGACTTATAAAATAGTTTTTATATATGCTAAACTGTACTTATTGTAAAATTTAGATAAAACAACTAAAAACGCACTTTAATTGCTAAAATGTTATTTCAAACGATGGAATGACCCATAATTTTATGATTGTACGGTCCCAGAATGGCTTGAGCCGAGACAATTGTCAATCAAACTTAATATTTTGATCACTAAATTACCTTAATTATATATTTTCAAGACCCACATGGAGGTTCAACCTAAAGACAGAGACTTCAGACATGATTATATGGGACATTTCACACTCGACGTGCCCTGTTATTTCCTTAAAGCTTTCTCGCCGAATAACTTGCAATTCACGTCGGTTTTAATACGGCAAAGGCATCATTAGAGAATTTATGCAAAACAGTTAGGTCTTAAATAAGCGTTTATCTTGTACACGACCCCCTATAGGCAATACGGCTCACTTGATAAGTATAGTGTACCCATTAAGTGTCCCGTACCACGTACTTAAGGCACCTTTGCAACGATATTGCGTTTAAATGAATTATTTTGTTTTTGATTCACCTGAACAAGATGATTATAGAGGAAAATAAGAAATTTTCATGTAAGAGTTTTTTTTAAAAGGTGGTATTTTTACCAAAAAAACAATAATTATAATTTCGGATATTGTAAAAAATGTGACCTTTCAACAGAAGGACGCCACTTTTTAAATTTTTAAAAATTGTTTATATCAAATGGTGGTATTTAATGTCTTTAATGTACTAACATTTTCGATTTCTATTCATAAAATAATAATTTTATTTTGATAGGGTAATATTAAAATTTTCTTTAAGTTATTTTTGGGTGGGTGTGATGGGTGCTAACGACTCTAATTTCATAAAACGCCTCGAAACTCGAGCGTGGCTATTTTTTGCCTCCTTGATGCCCCTACACATTTATACAAATGAGGTTTTAAGTGCCTCTGCAAGATTGAATTACAAAGAACTTTTTTGTTAAATTCTCTTAGAGAATTAGGAATTTCTATAAGTGAAAGTGAAATTGAAAGTAAAAAGTAAAAAGGATTGCGTCTGAATTTTAACTAGATTAGTATGGATGATAATTTGATTTTTTTCTTTATAATGAACAATTTCCAATAAAAAAACAACATGATTATTATTATTTAAACGATTAAATAACAGTGAAAATTATATTATTATTATATATGTTTTGTCAATTACATTTAACTGACCCAAAAAAATTCTACATCGGAAAAAACAAGAATTTCGTGAATTTAGCCAAAAATTTTAAGAGATTTTTTTTGAACAGCATTTCCCATAATAATATTTTCGGGTCCCTAGTGATTTTTACATGAATTACAAAATTCCAAAGTTTTATTCATTTTATTTATTCATCTTATATGAATGCGTTATTTATGATTTATACCAACTTCGTTATTAAAATAAGTATTCAAGAAAGGTAAAATATTATCGCGGGCTGTTTCATTTTTATGTTATATGGTATAGCCGCAGCGGTAGCAGCCATTTAAATATTTCTATAAGCAGATAAGCAATAAATAAGTGTCATAGGCACAACAAAATCGCAAAAGAGACAAAGTGGTAGGCGTCATAGTTGCGTAAAGATCTAACGCACACTTTGACGTCTTTGTAATATTTGAGCAGGGACGGCTTAAGCCCAATATTTTTTTGCAATTTTGAAGTGTATTTTTACGGTAACCTGATTGGCAGCATTAAGTCTGAAAAATTATAAAGGAAAATCCGTCTTGGAATTTTACCCTTTGGGACACCCAATTTTTCAGTCCAAAATGTTTGTGAAAAATCAAAATTGCAAATAATCTATACTCTCTTAAAATGATTTGGTCAAAAATAACTAATTATAAGTCATATTTGACTAATTGTCATAGCGAAAAAGCAGTCACCAATAATTAGTCAAATTCTACTGATTGAAATAGTTAAATTAGTAGATTTAAATTATTTAAAAAAGTTTTGACCCAGCCGGGGATCGAACTTAGGTCTGTCACTTGTCAAGCTTGTCAAGCTGTTGTCAAAACCCATTCGGTTATCAGCCGCTCTTGTAAAAATCAATTTTATTTGTCAATAAATATTGTTCATAATATTTTAAAGTTGAATATACAGACTGTATAGAATTAAGTAAGTAAGGCTGGAGACAAGGATGACAAATTATATTCTGATCAGAGAAAAAGAAACAAACTTTAATTGGGCGTGGTTTAAACCAAGCCATTCTTAATTACGAACCATAGTTGCCAGGTTGTTTTAAATCAGAAGAGAACGATTATAATTATTTAATATATAGTTCAATTTTTTTTGTTTGAAACTTTAAAAATAACAAAAAAATTAATAATATGTCAAAAATAATTTGATTTAGTTAATTTTCTTACTTTTAATATTAAAAAATAAGAAAAACAACCCTTTTAGGAAACAATAATAGCATATGGCAACAGCGCGGCATGCAGCCAGATACAAGGGCATGCTGTGTTTGTTCAGTAGCTCCGACGCTGTCGTAGGGAAATGTGTATAGTTTTTAAAAAATACATTTTCGCCATTAACTGGAATTTAATGGATTTTAAACAATACAAAAAAAAAATATATTTGCAGAAATGCATTAAAACAAAACAAACGAATTCGATTGTAAAAATAAATCCTATAAATTCTCAAACAAAAATAATTCTAAAATAAAGAAAATAACTTTCAATCCCTACCACAGTGGGCGGGGTTTGGCACTTGTTTTATTTAAGTGTATCTATTCGTTTTAATACACACTGTATTATTTGTGTTGCTGTTTTGAGCTAAACTTTTTGCATCTTTATTTGTTTTTATGGGTCATTTAACCATGGAGCTTAGGTATATGCATTTAATTCAAATAATACTTTGTTGTTGGCCGCAAACGATTAAAGAAATTAGTTACTTTTAACTCAAAGATGGTGACTAATCTTAAATTATCTAACTTTAACTATTTACGTAGTAAAAAATAACTATTAAAAAGTGAAAACGTCGCATATTCTGGGGGGTTTAAAATAAAAAGATTTGAGTCTCTCTGTAATCCCACCTGAGGACATAATGTATACAGAGTGGATGAATAATATCATTGTTTTTAGAGGTTAAAACAATGATGATGTATAGGATATCAGTGACATCCAGTGGCTCCCTGGTTTTGTCAAAAAAATTTCATAATTTTGTACTATCATCCCCCTGTATAGTTCCCTAAAGATGGCAAAATGTATTCCTCGATGTTAGATAATTTATCGGATCCCGTTGTAAGAAACCCACATAAATTTCAATGTCCCTCTATCGAGAGATCGCATCGCATTTGCGTGTTGGGATCATGGCAAGTGCGACCAGGTATGTGTCAATTTCCATGGAGCACTGAAA